CAATTCCTTGAACTTATACCCCTCACGGGGAAGAAGGCAAGGCCGCACAGAAGATGTGTGGTTAAAAAAAAGAGCCAAAGAAAAGATACACAATATTGGAGCGGTGAATGTGGGGCACCGTTGGGTTAGACGAATGCTTCACGGCCTTCCTTACACTGCTCAAATTCTAAACCAACTGCTTCCATTGCCGAGATACTGGGCACTCATATTATAAGGTAAGGTTATAAAAACCATCTTTTAAGATCATTTTAGTGAAAGTTTCATGCTTCAAGGCATATTATTCACTGCTCAAATTCTAAACAACCTGCTTCCATTGCCGAGATACCGGGCGCTCATATTATAAGGTAAGGTTATAAAACCACCTTTTAAGATCATTTTAGTGAAAGTTTCATGTTCCTATCTCATATAATTTAAGAACAATGATGAATAAATCATTTTCGAGCAAAATTTAAATGGCCGGCTGAATATATTACCGCCGGAGAGACGGCAGCGGAATTTAAATAACCGCATGAAAGGGTTAAATCACTCTAACAGTATTTGATGATAAAAAATTATTAAATTCCTTGCTACACAATTTCCTCCAGTCCCTTATTACTTTTTTTTTTACATCCAATCATTTCCCTCAGCACCCTGTTCTCACAAAGCTTCCTTCCGTTAGAGCAAGAGACCAAGTTTTACAGCCATTTTGAACAGCAGACAACATTACCATTTTGTGGAACTTCAATCTCTAAGCTTTTTGAGAGGTGGGATCTTTGAAAAGAGGAAAGAAATGAAAAGAGATTATTATTTCATTAAGATTATACACAGATTAATGTATAAGGGGCACTCAAATGAAAATGGGTCACCAAGCATAACTTGCATTGCAGGCAAGTTGGTAACACTGGAATTTCCTTACGGTACAAACATCTAGCGGGGACTCGGGAAAGCAGTGACAACGTGCCCTTGCACACTAGTTGTTTGTTTATTCTGCTGGAAGTAAGGTTAGCACTACATGTGGTCGTCCAACATCAGTAAGGGAGGCGGGTAAAGAAGAACAGCGAAGTGTAGTGCGCTTTTTGACTGCTGAAGGAGAAATTCATCATTGCATGTCTGTTGTTTACAGTGAACACAGCATGTCATGTTCGCGTATGCTGGCGTGGCATAAGAGATTCCGAGAGGGACGTGTGTCACTGCAAGATGATGCTCGCCCAGCACAGGCTCATCGTGTCATCACTCCTGATGTTATTCCTGCTTTCGATGGTCATATCCGGGCAAACCGACGGATCACTGTGGAAGAAATTAGTCTTTTGATGGGAATAAGTCACGGTTCCGTAAACTCCAGTGTGTCAAAACACCTGCTGTACCGCAAAATCTGTGTGCAATGGGTTCCACATCAACTCACGGAGGAACAGAAGACTCAGAGAATGGTTTGCATCACTGGGTCACTTCCAATGATACCTTGAGGAAGAGTATGTTTTCCTGTCCCATATTGCCACTGGGGACAAAACTTGGTGCCACCATTTTGAACCTGAGAGCAAACAGCAGAGCCAACAGTGGAAACATGTGAATTCTCCACCACCGAATAAATCCAAAGCGATACACACAAGTTCCGGTAAAGTGATGAGAATGTTCTTCTTCGACTGCAAGGGCCCTCTGCTCGTCAGATTTCTCAAGCATGGGGCCACAATCAGTGCACAGCACTATGAAGACACTTTGCAGAAACTGAGTTGTGCCATAAAGTCAAAACGCCCTGGAATGCTATCAAACAGTATTATCCTTCTTTATGATAATGTGCGCCCACACACTGCCAACTCTGTGAGGAATACGCTACAGAGATTTGGTTGGGAAGTGCTTCAACATCCCCCCTGGAGCCCAGATCTCTCCCCATGTGATTTTCACATTTTTGGAGCCCTGAAAAGAGACATTAGTGGACATCGGTTTGCATCGGATGAAGATGTGTGTGGCTGGGTAAAGATGTTGTTCCGTAGACAGCCCACAAGCTTTTTCAAGGATGAGACTGACCATCTTATCTCCCAGTGGGATAAATGTATTAACAGTTTTCGAGGTAAGAAATGTTCCTTAATATGTTTTGGCTTCTGACCCATTTTCATTTGAATGCCCCTCTTAGGTATTTTGAAATTAATCACAATGATTTGAGAATGGAGATACCTTACCATTTCAAACTTGCTAAGTAATTTCATCGCATACACCTTTTGAGTGGATTTATGTCTAACCTGCAATAGAAGCAACACTGTCAGTTTAAAAGCTCATAGTAATTTACATGTCTAATATCACTATTTGCAAATGGAAAACACAGGTCACGAAAAGCAAGCAGACTGAACAGCTGACCTAGCCAACCCCTTTGAAAACAACCTCAAAGTTTCATGCTATAACCATTACACTTACACACATGAAAAACAATCCCTCTCCCAACACATTATATTAAAGGAGTTAATTACAATTTTGTTTTCCACTTCAGAAATAAAAAAAAAGCTTCACACAGAATGCATACACTTAACTTTTTCTTGTAAGACTTTCCTTTTTTTTAATTCTATGTCAACGGTTTCTAGTAGCATTAAATAGAAATTCAACTCTTTTCATGCTACAGTTGTACATGTTAGGTTAGGTTACAGATGTACATGTATGTCCACTGACACTGCTTCATTTACATTAGCCAGAAAAAAAAATGTGTGAAAAGGGCTAATCTGCCAAACACGACTTCCATAAAAAACCAAGGTGACAAGCACAAAGGGGCAGCTGTCCCTGTGCCTAAAAACCAAAAGACTGAAATACACATAATATTTCAGGCATGTTCATATATCCCATCTTGATGTCTTGTCCACTTAATTTTTACTGTTCCAATTTATTTTCTTCATCTTACAGATTCAAAATGCTATATTACTTTATTTATATTCTCATTTGTATTTAAATACTGGTAAAACCAATATGCAAAAACATCTCATACATATTCACTGTCGCTCAAATTGTAGGAATGCGGCATCCACCTTCTGACAGACTGTGAACTAGAATGAAATTAATGACAGACATGGCGAAAGCTTTGTTCACACATCAACTCCAGTGTGCTCTCACCAACTGAATATGAGCTTGAGGATGGCACTCTCAAAAATGCATTAGGATCTTCACAACGTGACCAGTACTTCGTCTGTTTTAACCATAACTGAACTGTTTTTGTATCAGTTTTAACCAAAATGGAATGTCAATGCATTTTAGTAAAATTCCATGATAGAAACTGACACAGAAATCCACCCAGTGGGCACTGAGCTGTTTCCTAATGACATCACAAAGCTAGATGATCTTTTCACAATTTTTGCGAATGCATCTAAAAATTCAATACATTCAAGAAAAAGGGGAGGTGAGTGGTATGGTTCACATTCAATCGACTTCACCTCCGATAAATAAAAATGGTGCTCATTGCTTCAGAAGCTGGGTAGGCCACAGAGCTGGTTTTCATGTAATGGCAGAAAAATTCCTTCCATGGCAGGAATCAAACTCTAGTCGCCCAACCCACTGCCACTCACCTTACTTACTGAGCTATTTCAACTTACACAAAGTCTAAATACGAGGGGCGTTCAAGTTCTAAGGTCTCTGACTTTTTTCTCAGGACTGGGAGCAGATAGACACATGTGGTTTAGTTTAAAATACGTGTGCACTCTTTGTGAATGCGTGACAGAGATGGCAGCACTGTACGGCACACAGAACTCTAGTGGTGGCGGCGAGTGTGAGGAGTGTGTTTGATACCTAAAATGGTGACATTTTCGTTACAAGAACAGCAAGTAATCATTCGTTTTCTCCACTTGCGTGGACACACATTGAAATTCATCGCCAGTTGAGTGAGACATGTGGTGATGGTGTCATGAATGTGAAAAATGTGCGTTCATGGGTGCGACAGTTCAAAGAAGGCCGAACGTCGTGTGACAATGAACCAAAAACGATCTTGGCCCCGCACCAGCCGGTCTGACAACATGGTCGAGCGAGCTGAGAAAGTTGTTTTGGAGGATCGCCGATTGAGTGTGGAAAACAATGCCTCCAAAGTTGGCATTTACGTGGGATCTGTGCACACAATCCTGCATGAAGACCTGCGAATGCAGAAAGTGTCCTCCAGGTGGATGCCACGAATTCTGGCGGACGACCACAAGGCTGCGCGCATGGCAATTTGCCAGGCGATGTTGACACGTCATGAAGGCATGAATGGGACTTTCTTTTCATCAGTTGTGACAATGGATGAGACATGGATGCCGTTTTTCAATCCTGAAATGAATCGCCAGTCAGCTCAATGGACGCACACAGACTCACCATACACCAAAAAATTTCGGGTAAGCGCCAGTGCTGAAATGATGGTCGCCATGTTTTGGGACAGCGATGGCATAATCCTTACTCATTGCATTCCAAAGGGCACTATGGTGACAGGTGCATCCTACCAAGATGTTTTGAAGAAGAAGCTCCTTCCAGCACTGCAAGAAAAACGGCCGGAAAAGGCTGCACGTGTGCTCTTTCACCAGGACAATGCACCAGAGCATCGGGCGTATGCGATGCAGCAATTTCTTTGTGAGAACAACCTTGAAGTGGTTTCTCATTCTCCCTACTCACCTGGCCTGGCTCTTAGCGGTTTTTGGCTTTTCCCAAAGATGAAAGACACTCTCCGTGGTCGCACATTCACCAGTTGTGCTGCTATTGCATCAGCGATTTTCCAGTGGTCGAAACAAACTCCTACAGAAGCGTTCGCAGCGGCCATGGAATCATGGCGTCCATGTTCTGAAAAATGTGTCCGGCTGCAGGGAGATTTCGTTGAAAAGTGACAGAAGTTTCAAATTTTTTGTATGATTATTGTGTGAGAAAAAATCGGAGACCTTAGAACTTAAATGCACAACGTACTCCTGCCTATCAAGCACTAACAAATAGTGAACACAGCAAGTCATATCTTACCAACTGCACTTCACCAAAAGCACCTCTTCCAATGACCTTAATAAGTGAGAAGTCATCCATTTTCATACGAAGTTTACAAACAGATGCAGCTACTTTGTCATCTGAAAAATCAGATAAATTCTTTTACATAACATATTCCAGAAATGTATAACAAAGTTATTTCAAGCATCATATCTCTAGAGGAATGTAATTAAAACCAGAAGTTATACATACCACACAGTATTACTGTTATTCCTAAAATTAATCAGAACAGTGAAAATTTACTGTGCATATAACTGTCAGAACAGGATTGTGAAAGTACACTTACAGAGCATACACAAGTGGAATACTCAACAGAAAGGTCATGCCATGTCAAATTAACAGACACCTGACACCTTCACAATTGAATGATTTTTGTGAGACTGCACTCCCAATGAAGGCGAGTAGTCTTGCCAAATTTTATTGTTTTATAACAACTAGATTTTGGACACAGCTGTTGAAAAAAATAATTTTTTGTGCACAAAGCTCACTTTATGCTGACTTCAACACTAATGAAATGCCCTTTCCAATGACCTATTATATTTACAACAGCTATGTTCTCCAGATCTTCAAATATGACTTTCAACAGTGTATTTCTCAAACTAAAGCACTTTAATTTTTGGCCTACTTTCCTTATTTGTAAAGATAACAAGAGGCTTACAAGATCACCTTGCAGTCTGTGTGTTTGTGTATCTTCCCCAAACTCCTAAAAGCCGGAATAATGGCATCAAAATACCATATAAACATATGTGATGTGACATGATGAGTGAAAACGAGAGTAGTGCAGTCAGATAAATGCTATAGACAGCCACTGCCAGGCAATGGTTCAGTAATTAGGTTTTATAACTCCTGGGTTTCTGTGTGCTGCAGATGACTGCTAATCGTGCTCCTGAGCAGAGATTTGTCCTCTTTTATATAACTTCAGGGAGAAGCCAGAGAAAATACTGCTTCCAATAGTTCCTCTGTTGGTAGCCTACTTTCCTCATGTGTCTCATTGCTATGCAATGGCCCAGTTGCTATACAACAGCTCAGTAAACATGTTCCTGAGGCAATAAATTCACACACACAACAGAAGAATTGTTGAACACATTTTCTGTGTGATCTGGGTCATGTCAAAGGAAAGTAGGTCAGTTCTTCTCAGGGCTTCTTGTTCTTATTAAGATACTGTGTGCATGTAACTGTTGTTTAAAACATCTGTAATTTATCAAGTTGGCACTGTAATGCGATTGGGTTTTGTGTACCATTTTTACAGCTAACAGTTACTTCATGGAAACATAATCCTCAAAAAAAAAATCAAAGAATGTCATTAACATAGTGCTCCAGGTTCAAAATATGGATCCCACTATTCATGTAGCAGTGATGGTACACCATACACTAATCTCCTGATCATGATGGGGTACTTCAAAAGTTTGACTCAGATTAACATTACTCCCATACCTATTGTTCTCAGTTAATATATCAACTCAGATGCAACCAAGCTTCATCTGTAAAAAAATGTAAGTTTTGATCAAGGAGACTGCCATGTACTGCTGGCATACATCAGTTAAAAATATGTGTTCTCATCCAGTCACCTTTCTCCATTACTTGAAACTGTCTTAATTTTATATGGCTGTACACATAACATTTAGCTGCTTTCTGTGCTACTGCTGTTGAAAATTGTGCATACAGACCTATAATGTCAGGGATTTCCAAAATGAATGCTCTAATCTGACACCAATATTTTCAAGTTTTTCCTCAGTTAGCACAGCATCCTGGCTAGTGTATTTCTTGTCTAAGAAAAGAACAAACTGAACATAGTTTGTTCAATTTAAAAATCAGTGATGAAACTAAAACGTGAACATCATGATACTTCTTTTGTGTTTTATAGGACTTCTCCCATAAGTATCATGCAGAAAGATGTTTTTCTTTGAGTGTTAATTTCACCCCCCCCCAACATGTCACCACCTTGTCGTGGTGGTGGGGCTTGCGTGACTCTGCGACCTGGAGAGCTATGTAGGCGGTAGTTTAACTATCGGTAGGATCACCCATGCTGGAAAGGTCAAAGGGTAGAGTCAGACTATGAGGGATACCCTGGTCCTCCAGACTGGGGGTTGGGCATGAGGCTAACAATCTCATCCTGTAAAAAGAATTTTGTTCAGAAACCTAACAACCAGCCTCAGGTCATCATGTGTGGGTCCATTCCTATGGCAGCACGCACTGGTTGTGGAGAATGGTTGTAGAGGCCAAGGCTCACCCAGGCCTGCAGTGCCAAGTAGTAGGTACGTAGCTAGGTAGGTATATTTCACTACCTTGATTCAAGGAGAACTGATACATATTAACTGTGCAGTAATGAAGCTGATAGTCTCTCTGCTCATCTGTTCATCACATAAAGCACAGTTCACTATCAATTGCATCTTTTCTCAGTTGGGTGAACTCTATTTAGTCAGCTGAGAAAGTATTTGTAATTTCTGAGACATTTAATTTTCAAGTTTCCAAAAAGAAACACAATTTAAATACAACCAGTGGTTGAGGAGAAACAAAATATTATTATTCAGCATCAGAATAATTACTGAATGAAAACTGGTAGTCACTAAAGTGTGAGGTTGACAGCACTGTACTCAGATTTTTCAACTAGACATATGGGATACCATTACATTCTTGTGGGCTATAAAGCCATGCAGTCAGGTGAAAGTCAATCAATGTTTTGGAGGAACATATTGCCTGATTGCTACCTGCTTCACACTGGTTCCTTGCCTGGTTTATTCTTCAACCCTGAAGATAGAAGTGACATGTTCCTCTGAAACATCAGCTGACTTTCAACTGACTGAAAGGTAAAGATAAAGTCATCCCTGTACTTAAATAAGCACTATGCCATGAAGACATATGGGAGAGAGTACATATAGATCCATGTACTCTTGGCCTTGGCACTAGTTGAGGTTGAGTAGTCTGCTTCAAGCCCAGGCCGTTCTACCCCCTGGGGAAAGAACCCCTTGTACCCACTGGAAAGAAGGCTCGGTGGGTCCCAGAGCCAGTCTGAATGATACAGAAAGGAGAAAAATTTTGCCCCTAGCAGGACTTGAACTCTGACTCCTCAGCTGTCCAGCCTGTAGCCAGTCACTATACTGACTGCAATATCCCGGCCACCACTTCAAACTGACCACACAGCATTATATGCCATAAGATATAAATCTTCATAACCACTGCTGCTGAGAACTTCAAATCCTACGTACAATTACATTGCTTATGACTATAATGAATTAGTTTTTTTTTTCAATTCTTTTAATTCATATTAACCTTTAACGGCCAAATGTTAGATATATATGACACAAGCATCACCCTGAGTTCGCCGAATGTTATATATATCTAACGCAGTACTCCTGCTCCCTTTGGGAGTGCTGACAGTTTGACCTTGGGTTTGAAACCAAAACAAACCTATGCGAGGTCATGTCAGTGGTTCATTCCTTAGCTCTAAACAATAAAATCGTTTATCATGGTACTGGTTTCGATACTATTTATGTTTAGACTGTTTATGACCTGGTCAGCCAAATATAGCCCAGCTTTGTTTCGAGATGTGATGAGGAAATATTCATCGGTGCTTGCAGAAGAGTGCTTCCAGGGCCTTCAAGGAAGTGTAACGCATTCAAGGATTGGTTTTCTGTGATGAATTATCAGTTAGGAAGTCAATGTCAGATTGTCTAATACTTCTTTATCAGTTATAAAGTCAGTGACAGACTGTCATATATTTCTTTAAATCATTTTTATTTTGTGTCTTGGATGAGGTATAAACCCACTCAGCCAGTATTACTTTGTGAGTAAAAGGCATCTTCGCAACTGGGACTTTCGGTATCAGTGTCGGACTGGCAATCTTTCCGACTAGTATTATAATTAGTTTGCATCAATATTTTGCGAGTATTACTAATAGGCAAGAGTGTCGCTTTGTCAATCAACATAATTTATTCAATTCTGCTAGAAACCCCCCTCCCCCAATATGATTCTTCAATTGCACAAGCCGAATATCACTGTCAGCGGCGTTTCTCGGGGGGAGGCCAAAGTTATCAGGGGGCCCAACTGAGTTGACTGGAGGTGAAACATTCACAACACTGGCCAACCAAAAGGAAACAAAGATGTTGTGTGTTTCGCTAAATAAGAAAAGCAGGAGCACGCTCTTCTATTGTAAAAATGGTGGTGTCGCTCTGTGGGGGGGACTGCTTCGAGAAGTGCCATGCATGTCAGATTGTATCGTAAACTGTGAAGAGATGCAGTTCAAACTCATGTACAGTCTGAACAAAATATTATTGTATATAGTGTGACTATATTTACAATATCACCATTATTGAAGGTTGAAGAAAAAACAACGGGTAAGTCGTTTGGAATTTCATAACATATGTAATAAAGATTATATTCTGCATTTCATGACAAAATAATCACATTTAATTTTCGTTTGTAAATATTGCTTTTTTGAGTATATGTAGAAAATTTTATTGTCTTTCAGACTGGTTTTAGTTCGTATTTCCACATTGCATAGAACGGAAAATATGTACCGGCTGCAGAGGGCTCCCGGCAATTTAAAAGTCCATACGTTAAAAGTTAAGTACATCATAACTTTACAGAGTATTATACTTCTTAATTATGCATGTGAACAATGCCCAGGCATGCCAAGCAGATCAGCTACTTATTCTATGTATTATGTATCTTGATTACTGTTCAAATATTAAATTTATTGTAGACGAGCATATTAATACTAAACTGGTATTACAGAAACATATTCATACAGACCATTTTTAAATGTTTCTACATTGATAAAAAAGGGGTTTTAAAATTCATTGCTGAATGACATATAACTGGATCAATGAATATAATAACAGGATTTAAAACAGAATATTACAGGAAAGTAATAGTTAAACAACTACAAACTTTTAATCCTTCATATCTCAAAACACAGTTCTATGCAGTTACATCAGTCTGCTCCCAAAATGTCAAAACAGCATGTACTTCGCAAACACTGCTAACAAATTCCTTATTTTCTTCAAGCAGCGTTAAATCAGTTCTCTCCCATTAGTCATCAAAACATATTTTTCTGGGGTGTAACTTCATAATATGAATTTACTTGACCACTTCTCTCAGGTGACATATATTAAAATTTGGATTAATAACCATAACCAAAACCAAAATTCAGGCACTTGGGCCTTAGTTAGTTAGTTAGTTATTGGAGAGGGTGGGTTTCCCCATGCACTTAGACCTGTATTGGTCCACTGTGCTTCCCTCTATAATTTCTACCAGTCTCTATATCCTACCAGTACTGGTGCTTACCATCAGTCCTGCCCAGCCAGCGAGACCGGCTCTACTAGCTGAGAGGTATCTATAATGTTTCCCCCATATACAAGAGGTATTAGAGACTGCTGTTGGGCGGGAAACGTCTGTAATTTGGCTCAGTGACCTCCTTTGGAGATATGAGGTTCTTTTACGTGCCGTAAAGCTACGACACGGGACCCACGGCTTATGTTTCAGTAACTGTAAATAAAGACTGAATATAGAAACAGTTCAGTTCTGTTTACGGTATCTTTGAGAGTGAATCACCATTATTTAGAGATAGAAATACACTATTTTGTGAAGACTGGTGTTCAATTGTGCAGTCTATAAACAATTACCCTTAGAAAACCATACCGGATATCTTGTTGAATATATGACTTTCATTCAGCAGAACTGCCTACTCAGACATGACGAACCCTGACAGATATTTTAACCAGACAATGTAAAAGGTCTGTTTCGTAAAGTTGTTCAATTTCTGGTTAGGCTCATGCTAATACTCACATCTATTCATGTAAGCTTCAACATTCTTCATACGTTTCACGGAGGGATGGTCACAGTCAGCTACCAATGCCTGAACTGTGTCCTGAAAATAAATAATGCAGCTGTCATATGCAAGCAAGTATATCATTACTCTGCAAATATTGTGACCACACATCTATACATTCTTAAACTTACCAAAAGGCAATCCACATTTGCAATACTACGTGGATCTTGTATAGTCTCTTCTAACTGTCGCAGACGACGCTTGCGATCTTCATCTTCGACACCGTCCATTTTTATACTAGATGTATAGACTATTATACTCAGTAAAACATTACTCCACAAATATATCTGGTTGGTTTACATTACACAACACATGCTGTAAGCAAAAAAAAATTTTAATTAATGATCACTAATATTGTAGTTTTCTGGGATATAATACTGTGTAGTCTGGTAGGTGGGTACCAACATTTCAGAATACCCTGAAGATGGGAACAACTAGAATGACAATGAATGAGTCTGAATCACAAGTGTGAAAATGGTACTCACAGATGCAGTTTTAATCAATCAAGGTCTCAGAACAAGAAGACAGACTAGCTGTGATGTTACTTCATATAGTTTCAGAATATATACCAAGGAAACTTCATGCAGACATTAATGGAACTCTACTTCATATGTCTGCCCAGACTCCAGCATATACTGATGACATTATGGTGAGAGCCTTCTTACTGGTTAATGAATTTATATACAAACAGAATCTGTGGTCAAAGACACAGAGTTAGAAATTAATGAATGTAAAACAAGTGTAATGACAAAAGCAAGTGGGCACCACAAGCTGGCTAAGATGACCCCAGGGCCATAGTGAGGCCGGAAGGATTAGGTCAATTGAAAAAAATTCAATGACCTCATTGGGACTTCAACCCGCGACCTTCCAGCTTGTAGCATTGTGCCTCAACCAAATGTATAAAACAATAACCCATAAAATATTATGTTATTGTTGTGCAATGTGTAAGCATTCATCAAAATAAGAAATTATCATTAAAGTTTTGAAATGTAAGATTTTCAAAAGAATCCTAGGACTTATAATAAAGAAGAACAACTCCATAATTCAAAAAATCATAAACCCTGTCGAATGTATAATAACTCAGCTTTGTCTATATTTGCCAATTAGTAAAACTACAGTGATCATAACATCCTCAGAGACATGTTTCATGAAGAAATGTATGGCAAATAACCAATCCAAAGGCATAGAAACAGATAAGAAGGCTAGAGATGATAAGCACAATCTGTCACAATGTTGAAACTGAAGCTCAAAGGTTTGAAATTGTGACAACTCGAGGTAAGGTATTTGGTAGGCCTTCGGCCATAGTGGCCTGTAAAGCACTGGACTGGATTGATGATTGAAGCATCATGTTCCTCTTAAACATTAATACCCACCTACATGACTACATCAAGTCATAAAAAGATGATCATAATATAAATATTCACAGCCATGAAAATCACAAATATCATAGTGATACTCAATGTTATGTTGCAGCTCTGTCCCACATTAAACACAGGATTCACTCACTATACCCTTATTCTTGGATCAATATATAAGGACACATTTTTATATCAGGAACGAACAGTGCCCATCCTTCCAATGCAGTACACACATTTAGCTCGCTTGTTAGATTTGAGATTCTCAGCAGTGATGACTATGAAGTTTGTTGCTGTCAAGGGAAATAACATTCCTGAAGGCAATAATCTTTCTTTACCATAGGTAACAAAGACAGACACAATCAACAACCAGTTAATAAACTGAACTTCCATCATTACTTTGAAAAACCTCAAGATCATGCATCATAACTGATGTACTACTGCATGAAACAAACAACAGATCATACAAGTGTAACAAACTTTAATATCCTACATGACAGAACTTAATTACAGTAACTTACCTGTTCTAGCTATATATAATTCACAACCAATTATGTGAAAGTAAATAATGAAATCTGACACTTTGCCAAATCCCAAAATCCAGGATTATTTACCGAGTGGTGTATTCTGGAGTCTATAGTTTCACAGCCGTTATGTTCGTTGTTTCTCCATTTCCCTGTATAATATTAAATAATTAAATGTTCAATCCTCGCATGTAACATAAAAGCAGCAAGGTACAATAAAATGAATTGTAAGGGGGGCCGCAAATCTAAGTACAAAATCCTTGAAAGTAGGTGTAAGTCAGAATAAACTGAGCGTAACAAATTCACGGAACCATAAAATTTTTAAAATCATTATCATTTGCGAATACTGTTTCCTTCATTCCACTTTAAAACTAAGACATCCTATTTATATGATCTCGGTGACAGGGTCTTCCCGAGACGTTATTAATGCGGAAACACTCCATCGCTGACATCACGTCAGTTGACACGTGATGATTCTTACAGCCAAAAAAAAACCTATTGCAATTTATCTCGATCTTACCTTCACATTTCTGAATCAAGTGCAAATAACAGACTATATTACTGTAATCTCATGATCTTACATGCTTTTCAGGCTTATACCCGCTTTTATTATTAAACATGATGGCTTCCTACGGTTACCAGGCCTCCCAATCGTTCCTGACGTTCCTGACGGAGGATGGAGCAATGAGGAGATCTATATATAGAAGGCAGTGACCATGGAAGTGTGTAGAAGGACCGAACAATATACTGCACCGATTTTGTATAGTCATATGCACCAACCGGAAATTTCGCATTGACATTAGGGAAGTGGTACCAGCGGTATCGGCCCGTATATCTATCAGTATTGCGATGGGTTACGGTCTGGACCGGTCTGGACGGCCGGGCTTCGACCCCAGGTAGAGACAAATTGTTTCTGCTCCACAGCGTCCTTATCGGCTCTACCTCTATCTGTCGCCGAGAATAATAATGGGAGGGCTAGATCTCCACTCCCCCATACGTTTTCGTGACATGGTAACGAATTAATTAATTGCAGTGAAATTCATTCAAATTCTTGAAAATGTATATCTTAATACCTCTGATCCTTGGCAGTTGTTTCTGGCTTGAAGCTTGTTTGGCTTACAACAGGATTGCATTGCTACTAGCCACATTTGAACAAATTATTATTATTATTATTATTATTATTATTATTATTATTATTATTATTATCATTCTACGGCCATTTTTGGGTCTTGGCCGCTTTTTTAGTTTCTTCATCCTGTACACAGTCGGTAGGACTCCTTGGATGGGGGATCAGCCCGCCGCAAGGCCTCTACCTAAACACAGCACAACACAAACTCAGAATAAATGCAAGCAATACAAACATTCAAGCCTTAAGTGGGATTCGAAGCCACGATCCCAGCGTTCGAGGGAGCGAAGACAGTTCATGCTTTAGACCGCGCGGCCACTGTAATCGGCTGAACAAATTATGGCATTACAATAAAATAATCAGCATCTATTTTAAACTTCTCTCAGAGGTATTCATACTACATTTATGGTGTCAACTCAGGTGCTACTCAAAAATGCAGATTCTTCCTGGGAGACCTAGTACATCGCCGGGAAATTCTACTTATACGACAAAGCATGAGCTGGAATTATTAGTAATGTGTACAGAAAGGAAATCCTTACATAGTTCTTGGCATTAAGTAAAAAAAAATACTCTATCTATCCTCATTTGGGTGAGATGGGATAGCGTTGGAAAATGAATCAACTCAGGCATGGGATTCAGCCTGCGTCGTTTTAAGTGCGTATCACTTAACAAGATTTGTAGTGTTCATTATATGAGGTGTAGATAAATTTGTTTATGCTTATGATAGTAATCCGTGTTTATTCTTGTCTCAGCACATTTCACTTTCGGGTACGTTCATATTTTCGCGCCACCTCTCATTGACATTGTACATGTTCGGATAGTTATGTTAAGTTTTCGTTGAACAGAATAATAAATTCCATTCTTTTGATTTCGCTGTTTGATTTTAATATGTCACTACAGCTTTCTGGGAAACGCCACGTAGAATGTTAAAAATCCTTCTCCTTCGAGGTAAATGTGTTTGGTCGGCCAGTATGATAAACTGGCCAGCCATTCTTGGTTCCGGGTTCCGGGTTCCGAGTGTCTTCATTTTCTGTGTCACGACTGTGGGAATGTTATATCTACTCCAAACGTTTTTGCCCCAGGCCGAAATAATTGCTATTTGAACTTGCCAATATAGTAATTCTTAGCTCCGGTTCCCGAGGTATTAGACCACGTTTTTTGTTTCACTGCTCTGGAAGTAGCCTCGACATATTCGGTCTGTCGGCCTGGAAAATCACTGCTGGTTTCGCCAGCATAGACATTCTTGGTTCCGGGTCCCGCGATAATCATGACCATTTTCTTCTCTCTCACGACAACGGGAGTCATGCGACTACACCACCATGTGTTGGTCGTGTTGGATAGATTGCGGATGGTCCTCGCTAGCACAGATATTCTTGGTTCCATGTCCAGCAGGACTAATGACTGTATTCTTCTGCCTCACGACTGTGATCTGTCGGTCGGTCGGCAAGAAAACCACCCACAAATTGGGTAGTGAAAAAAATATTGTCAAAAGGTTTTCTAAGTTTCAGCATACTTGAAAATATTTTATTTTGGGGACAATGTATCCCGAAGGAAGAGGTGAAAAATGCTTCAACGACCAAGTGCTTCGGACAAGAACTTGGCGGAATGGTTTCAGCAAGTACGGAGAAGATTGGATGGAAAATATTTCCGTGAACGTGTGCTTAGGAAAAGAATTATTGAACAAATTTATCGTGATCACAATTTTCGGAGAACGATAGAAGCAGATCCGCCAACAAACACAAAGTAAGAGATCACGCAGTACACTTATCATACATACATCCTTGGCTCTACTGACCGCATCTCCATATCATTGAAGAAGAATGACAATCACACAAATCCAGAAAGTAAGCAAAAAATTGTCAACCCACATCAGATACACCTAGGGAAAACAACCTCCAATTAAAGAATAAATCCCTTTTTCAATATTGTCTTTAAGGAAATTGTTGCATTAATATATCTCTTACACAATACAATTCCGTCAATAATGCAACTGTTTCTATCACTCCTTCCCTTCACAACAGGTTTCGGCCTGAAACGGCCTTCATCATATTTCTCAGCTATGCCAAAATTGTTCCTCTGTATACAGTGTCCACTTCTTCACATTACATATAACTACGATATTTGATGATTTAAAATGTTGGATGTTATTGTGTAATCGGTAATTTAATTAACATTAATTAAAACACCGTAGGATTTAATTTACTTTATATTGGATTCATTAATATTTCTCCGTTAAAATTCCGTAAAATTCTTTTTTGCGCCTCTACTAGGGGCGTGTACATTTGTCCATCCACTTGCTCTTGTGTGTGGATGAGGATAACATCCACACACAAGGAAATACAATACCATACAATAAGTTTCTTCATATTGTTTTAATTTATCCCGTGGTTTTCAGTTACATTATTATTCAACATTGTCAGCAATTTTTAATGTTGTATATAACACTAATTGAGATAAATTTCAACCTTTATTTACATTAATTTCGGAGTCTACCTTGATAGTAACATTTATGCATGCGTTCCCTTAGACTTGGCAATTAGTTCAAGGGTTCCTCCCAGTTAAAAAGGTTGAGAGAGGTTGCCATACACTTTTGTGGCACATTATCCGTTGCTCCTAACCTGTAACAGTTGTGTTTAGCGATTCACCTTATAGGCTAGAACCCGTCTTACACGAATGCCAATGTTTGTTTGACCAACAAATATGTCTCATTTTCGTTGCATTCTTCTTAGCTATATTTCTCTTTATTTTGTACATTTCTTACGATTTAACCGTGTTTACTTGGAAGTGTGTGACACATAAATAACGGGGTTTACGCATGTTGTCCATTTTTCGCTGCCTAAAAAAGTGAATACAACATTCCGGAAACTGGACTTGTTCAGTCCTAAGGTGATGGCGGAGATAACTGCTTTGCTATATTCCTTAGAAAGAGCTAACCCGAACCACCGGACCACCTGTGTCAGAGCCAGAATCAGAGTCACTTCATGACTAGCGGTTCACCTCCAACGGCTCTTTTTGGTAACAAGCCCCTTGAGAATCACGACCAGTAATTCTATTTTCCAAATTAACACCTGTGGTTATAGTATTTATGTAAAATCCTCTGACGTGAAGATAGGTCTGTCGTTTACAATTGTTACAGTAAACTTATAAGTCAAAGTTAGAGTCACATTGCGACTGACGGTCAGTCAGTATGTTTAAGCAAAGTTATTTCTTTTTCTTCCTTCCAAGTATTTGGAAAGTGAGAAAGTCGAAAACAATGATTGAACAGATGAGTTAGGTGAAACAATGGTCGCCTTGGAAGGTGCCTGAAGTATTCATTTGGAATGCCGTCAATTCCACAGGCCTCTTTTAATTTCAGGGATTTTATTAATTTCTGAACGTCACATGGTGTGATCCTTAGAGGGTGGTTTTCGTCTACGGTTTCGAGCAGAGCTTGAACTCTAGCCTCCCCCCGCCGTTCATGGTTATCGTCGCACAGATCGTGCAGCATGAACAGAATTTCCAAACACTCAGCAATTGCGTTGGCTTTTTCGAAAGGGTCAAATATAAGGCCTGAAGGACAATGAATAGCAGTTGGTTCCCTTGGTCCGTCTTTCTTGAGGAGAGATTTCGCAATGGGCCATATACTCTGAGGTGTGACTTCAGCGTTACCTATTTTTGTTTCCCACCGTTCAAGAGCCCTTTTACGAGTCATTCGCCTGATTGATTTGGTGACCCAATTCACTGCCGTTTTACACGCTGGATCCCTGGTTTCTTGCCACAGTTTTCGTAGCCTCTGTTTATATTTTATCAAATGATCTAGACCAGGAAGATCGTTGTTTATGTCCGAAAGTGTAACTTTATATGTTGACAGCCTATATGCCGAAGCAAAAGAGGCTGCAAAGTCGCGTGCCGCCTTATCGGCTTCTACCCCCGAATTAATTTCTAGTTTAGGTGATATTAATTCAGAAGCGAGGCTTTGAAACCGCTCCCAATCTGTAAATTTTTCAATGGGTTCCGAAAGATTCCTAATTTTAACGTGATCCAGTATGTGAAATACTATTGGTAGGTGATCTGAATCGAAAATATCAGAGACGATGTCCTCTGACACTCTGATATTTTGGTGAACCACAATGTCTAACACGTCACCATTTCCCGCAGGGGAATAATGAGTTGGGCACTGTCGTGCTGAAATTTCGAAATCACTCCTATCAAATATATCAACGAGTTTCAAGCCTGAGGTGTTTGACCTCTGCTATTCCAAAATGGGTTTTTAGCATTCAAATCACCTGCCAAAATAGAATTGCGTCTGAAGCTTAAGAGCTCAGTGATGTCAGCATCACTCCAGGCTGTGCCTGGAGATTTACAACCAGCTGCGAGCAGCACTTCGCTATTACCAATTGGTATGCAGACCCCTGTCGCTTCTACTGAAACAAGGGGTGGTAGGTCTACATGGTTATGGGGAATGTCTTTTCTTACTGCAACGGCAGTTCCGCCATTTCTGCCCGAGTGGCGGTCGATTCTATAAAAGTGGTAATTTGGAATAGAGTACCTCTCATGA